AACTGTATTTAAAGGGCTAGAAGGTTGAGAACCACTGGAAATGAACCAGGAAATGAGCATATGCCATTTAGGTCATGACAAGATACAATAATTATACTGATAGTAGTGATTAATAACTGCTACCACCAGATGCAAAGACTGTTTCTGTGTCGATCTCTTTCTTCAAATTATAATAGCTCTTAAATATCAAGCACCTACTGCTATCCAGGCATGGGCTGGTCACTGTATACATGTTATCTTCTTCCCAGCTCTCTGAGGCTTGGAGAGTTAAGTGTCTATCCAGGGCTAGTAAGGGGCAGAGCTGTAGCCCTGAACCAGGTCTGCCTGACACTTTCCTCTGAACATGCCTCGTCCCAGAGAGGGGCACTGCTCTTGTTCTCACAGTGGACACTGCTTGGCCTCTGTTGGCCCTTCCCCACCTCAGTCCCTTTTCCAAGGCCCCAGTGCCCAGATAGAATGGCCTCACAGCTCTGCATCCTGCCCAATTATGGGGAAGACTGCCCTCCTCTGCCCCCCAGAAAACCCGGGAGGGCCAGTGTGCAGAGCCCGAGGTCCAGGGCTGATACCAGGGAAACAACACGGGCATTCAGAGGTGGAGCTGCTTGTCTGAGTGCTGAGTGATTAACACTTGTGTGCCAAGCTGGAACGGCCATGGGTGAACCTGCAGTTCCCTGAACTCAGGCCCCTGTTCCCCATACTCAGCCCCACGTTGGGCACCATACGTGCCACGCCAGCACAACCAGGTTTGGTGAGCCTGAGAGGGGGCGGTGAAGGATTAAGAAGAGACAGACAAGAGAAGAAAGCTGGGTCTGGGTGGGATACTGCCCTCTCTGATGGAGAGACAGCGCCCCGGCCTTCAAGCTGAGTCTTTATTTTATAGCCAGATTCCACGAGGCAAAGTAAGGGTATGGTCAAGATGTTGACAACGTTCTCGAGGGTTTCGAATCTTCTCAATTACATGCACCTGATCAAGCTTTGTTTACTTGCTGCACCTCCCACAGCCCGTATCACTCAGCCACGTGGGCCCACAGGTTCGGACCATAAGGTCAAGCTTACAACCATAGTCTTTGGCTATAATTGTGCTGGGACTTGCACGTGGCTTTGCCACGAGAGGATCGTGCCCTCTCATTAGTCCCAGGCTTGAACCTCTCCAAACGCTGTAGCCACTCTCCACTTCCTCGCACAGCTGCAACACACAGGAGCTGCATGGAAACCCACCCTGAGCCGGCCTGGTCAATAAAACTCAGCAGATGCCTTTCCAAGATACTCTTCTCTTCCTGCTGAGTTTATTTCCAGACCACGAGTCTACTGAATGGAGTGAGATCTTGGGGAGAGCTGGCACATTCCCCCAAAGGTGTCCCCTGGGAGCCCATTCCTCACCTGTTGCACTAGTCCTCTTAGGGCTTGGAAAGCACAGGTGTTTGGGGCGTTGCTTGGCATCTTGCTCCCCCTTTATCCCAAAAAGGAATAAACGCCTCCAAATTGTTTGGGCATTTACTCATTAGTAATGCATCCACTGCTATTTCCTGGAGAAATTAAGCCACGAGCTTTGGAGCAGATGACCTAGGACAACAGGAAGTCCTGGGGGTACCTGGTGAAGATATTCATTCCCCAGACCTTTACCAAGCACTTAGAATCAGACTCCGTGCTAGCTGGGTCTGGAGGGGGAGACAGATACAGCCCAGCAGGTGTGATGACATACACACATGTGAGGACTGACACCTAAACAGGGCGCTGGAGGGTGAAAGGAGGAAGGCATCCATTGTTTGGTGATGAGGGCAGAAGGGAGGGGTGGTCAGGAAACATCCGCAGGGCTGGGTGTTGAAGTAAGTGTCCCCAGGTTAACAAAGCAGTAGAAGTGGGGGGCATAGAGTCTGGAGGAGCGGGTCCAGCTGCTGTAAGCCGTCTGCAGAGCTTGAGTATGTGTATGAGAGAGGGCACAGCAAGGGAAACGGCAGGGCCTAGGTGTAGGGCCCCAGGAATTGGGCCTCATCCTGAGGACAGGTGAACCACTGACAGGTTTAAAAAACAGATGACATGCTCAGAGTGGAGCTTTAGAAAGACCACTCTGTCAATAGTGCGGAGGATGGATGCAGATTGCAGAGTACCAAGCTGGAGGTCAAAGGTCAGATAGGAGGCCAGTGCCATTTAAAGGCAACATTTTTATGGGGGCCCAGCACAGTATACCCATCTATCTATCTATATCTACACACACACACACACACACACACACACACGCACGCACACCCCTAATATGGTGTATCTACTATTGCTACCTCCACTAGATGGAGCAGACACTAAAGAAGAGAGAGATCAAGTCACTTGTCCAAGGACACACAGCACGTGGCAGTCTCAGGATTTGAAACATCAGGGCAGCTTGAGCATTCATTCAGTTCTTACCCCTACACTATAGTGCCACTCCACCAAAGATGACAAAGGCTTGAGACAGGGTGGTGCAGTTAGACAAAAGTATTCCTCATGGGTCCACTCTGTATTTAGGGCTCCCCTGAAATAGCTGCTTCCAAAGAGAGAGGGGTACAGCCTTTTATTCTGAAGCCCTTGGAAAAAAGCCTACAGCATGACATGTTAAGGGGCAGAAGACTCCCAGGACAAGGCCATGATAGGAAGCCAGTAGGGGTCACTTGAGCCCCCAGGAACACATACCTTTGGGGAATGGAGGTAGTACTTTGCTTGGTTGGGTGTGTGCCTGCAGGCTCCTCAAATGCAGGAAAGCAGAACACAGGGAGGGAAGAGAAGGGCCTGCCCAGTGGGAAGAGCCCTGCTTTCTTCACCTCGTGGCCATACCTGCACCTGCGGGGGAGGCTGAGGCCAGGCAGCTCCTGCAGGAGCTGTGTGCTTTTTGCAGGGCTGAGTTAGGCCCGGGGAACAGGTGGCCAAGGACATGACCGCCTAGACCCGTGGTCGGCAAACTGCGGCTCGCGAGCCACATGCGTCTCTTTTTGGCCCCTTGAGTGTGGCTCTTCCTAAGCCTTAGGAGTACCCTAATTAAGTTAATAACAATGTACCTACCTATATAGTTTAAGTTTAAAAAATTTGGCTCTCAAAAGAAATTTCAATCGTTGTACTGTTGATATTTGGCTCTGTTGACTAATGAGTTTGCCGACCACTGGCCTAGACCCCTGGAGCAGCTCCAGTTTCAACGCTCCCAGCCACGCTCCTAGGAGGGATAGGATTTGGTGGGGATGGGGGAGGGCAGAGAGTCCCACTTAGGGGCCCGCTAATAGGAGACAAGCCCAGGGCCAGAGAGGAAGGTTACATGTGGCTTCTATAGCATGGGTTTGATGGTATGCAAAGCTGGACTTTGAACTTGCTGGCTCTGAGCTTTGGACAGTGTTTAAGAGCCTCATCTTTAAATGGGAATAAAACTCATTGCGAACGCAGGGTGGTGGTGAATGTCAGCGGTGAATACTGGCTGTTAGCACACGATCCTGCTCATCTTGTGAAACCACTACCAGAGGCATTGTATTTGGTAGGCCACGTTGTGTAACTCGGAGCTGGAGCTGCTATTTGAATGTAACATTGAACTTCAATATAACTCTAGGGGCTGCTAGTTAGAGGTCAAACAACAACAAACCAAAGAGCATCACTACGTAGCCTCATTCCTTCATCTCTGTGGAACTCAGAATTGTGTGTGAAGTTTGAAAGTCACTTAGAAGCAAATATTCATGGCATCTCCTGCTTCCTAAGGTAGAGTAGTCACCAGGTAGGTATTCTTTAAAGGCAAACTGAAAAAGCCCAGGAAACAATAATTCAGGGTTGCTCTACAAACAGGCTGAAAGCGAGGCAAGGAGGGCACGACTGAAGCCAAGGTTACCATTCTAGACAAGGACCAGTCTGATCAGCCAATCAGAGGCCTGGCCTGACTTGCCAACACCTGTTGGAATGGTGGTCTCTCTTTACCATCCCAGAAAAGGCCTTGTCAGAAACGCTACTGTCAGAAGTGATGCATTAGGGCTGGCAGCACTACAAATAAATACACACGCCAACATTCCCTGCATTTGTGGGAAAGCAGAAACCCACCTAAGAGGCATTTACACACAAATGGTGCACAGGCTCGCTCCATGCTGGGGCTTGGCACCCAAACTCCTCCCAGGCAAGCAGCACAAGGCAGATACCTTCTGTGCAACAGCTGCATTATCCAGACCCACAGCGTGGGGGAACCAGCACAGCAAACGGCTTGCAAACCCTGAGCAGAGCTCCTCCTGGCCCCAGCCGTTCCAGCCATACCTCTGTCCCCCTTGCTTTCTCCACTGCAGGGCTTTGGCTTCTCTAGAGCAGAAGATCCTTAGTCACACGGGCTGGGGGCAAGAGCCCGCCAGTGCCCGCCACTGCTCAACTCCTTTGAATGCTGAAGACACAAGCCATTTTTAAAAGTAGCGGAAGGGATTGCTGTCTCCCCCACCAAATTGGCTACAGCTTCCGTGTTAATATTCTGGGAGTTTTCTCCCTGATTGGAAGGGTCTCGGAACTCTGAAGCCATAGCTCTTAGATGGGTAAGCTAGGGCCTCGGCGCGCCCCTGCCCATTTTGGAAGAGCTTCCGGTTGGTTTTCCCAAAGACAACAAGCCCACACTTAAGACATGCTTCTCTTTCCTCTCATCCATGCCTTCGACCCAGTACAGTTGCCTGGAGTCCTGTGGATGGGGTATCGGGAGTTGGGGAGGTGGGGGGCGAGAGAGCCGGTGAGGCTCTGGAGAAGGAGGCCTGCTATTCCCAAAAAGGGCCATAAGGAGCAGAGTTGAGGACTTGGGGGTGGATAGTGGAAAGAGAGAAGCAGGTGCAGAAGAGTAGGCGACTTCTACAGCTGTGTTCAACTTCCCACCCCCTGGAGAAGGTACAGGGGACCCAAGAGTGGGTCACGGAATGGTGTCACCACAAGGGGCCTAGTATCCAGCCCCCAGCCCCGGCCCCCTGGAGTGGGGACCTTCTGACTCTTGGGGAAGCAGAGGGAGCGGTTCGCGCGGAGGGTTGGCAACTCACGGAGGAGAAGTTGTGCGGGCCGCAGAGCTCGCCCCGGTACTTGCAGGAGAGCAGCATGTCCTCCAGCTGGTGGCCAAGGCGGTCCATGAAGGCGGCGCTGATGCCCTCGAAGTGGCGCGGCGGCAGGAAGAGGCGGAAGTCGGCCAGCTTGCGGAACCACTGGCGGCGCGGCTCGTCGCCCCGCAGCAGCTCGCTCACCAGCGGGCGCGCCGTGCGGTTGGGCAGCAGCAGCCCCAGCCAGTGGCCGGCGTAGTAGAGGTCCCCCTTGGAGAGGCGCGGGAAGCGCAGCGGGTTGTTGTTGCACACGGTGACGGCGGGGAAGGGCAGCTGGCGGCTCCACTCGCGGTGCACCCGCGTGTGCGACGGGAAGCTGAGCCAGTAGAGAAGGCGGTTCGAGGACCAGGACAGCAGCAAGCCGAGGGACGTGCAGAAGGCCAGCACCCACAGCGCCCGCCGCTGGAAGGAGCCCCCCGCCGCCGCGCGCCCGGCGCACATGTGCCGCAGCCCGTGCAGTTTAGTGCGGCTCAGCGACGGCCGCCCCCTGCGGGCGACCCCTGGGCCCCTGCAGCGCCCGCTCGCGCGCGCCGCCCCTGCCGCTCCCGGGCTGCCCGGCCGCCGCCACCGCCGCCGGCGCCGGCTCCTCGCGGGCCATGCGGAAGCGTCCCGGGCCGGTGAGCGCGGCCGGGGGCAGCCCGGCTCCACCGCTCCGGCTCATTCATTCAGTCCTCGGCTGCGGCAGCGGCGGCCCCGACCGG